ACTTACTTACTTACTTACTTACTTACTTACTTACTTACTTACTTACTTACTTACTTACTTACTTAGTCATCTGCCTACTTACCTACTTGTCTATCTGTGACCCGATAAAGACATTGCCCCTTGGTGCTCTTTTTAATTTACTGTAATTTTATTTACTTTTCTCATGGGCCACATGGCTAAGAATTTTTTAAGCAAGCGTGCACACCATCTTGGACATTGGGCCTAACCTAGCCACCACCTTTCACAAAAACTGCCCTGACAACATAGAAGAAACAGGAGCCTCTGGAACTCCCCGCCCAGCTTCCAATGGCAGAGGGGTGGGGGAGGCCCAGCTGTTACCTGCACGTAGGGCACCCCCAAGCAACTCAAAAGGGTCTCCGAGTCTCGTTTCTGGAGCCACTGGGGAGGATCCTCAGAAGCAGGATCTGAAAGACAGCCGTTCTTAGGAGGCAGGCGCAAACCGCCGGCACAGGCAGGGTCTGGTGCGGGGATTCCCACGGCAGCTGGATCATATGCTGAGAATTCATGCTCTCCATCAAAAAGGGGGCGAGTACCTTCTGGTTGTGTGGACCACGGGCAGGAATCCTGTGCGCCCTTGCCAGCACCTCCCCTCGTGGTTTCGGCGATGGCGGCCCGTTTGGCTAACTGCAGGAGGAGACAGCCATGGTTATAAAGTGCCTGTCCCTTCCCCAGACCTGGCCCCAGACCTCTCACCCACCCATCACCTCCCTGGTGGTACTCCGAGGCCTCTCATCCTCAGAGTACTGAAGCCACCCCTGCCTCCTGCATCTCCTTCCTGCTACTGTCCCATACGGGAAGCCGGCAGCACTCAAGGGCGTGCCTTTATTTCCCCACCACAGGAAAAGCTGGCCCTCGTTCGGCCCATCGTCTCTGACTCCCCTTCCCCCCCGCCCGACGGCACCCCAAAGGATTCACTCCTACAAACCACTGCCTGCTTGAGGTCCGGAGGTTTCCCATCGAAGACAAACACGGGCCTGATGCTGTTTTCCAGGAGATGCATCGTCCGGTAAAAGATTCCCTGCAAAGGACTGGGAAAAGTTGGCATGCCGTGAGCAGAGGTCGGACAGCTTGGCAACGTTGAGTTTTCGGAAGGCCACAGCACGGATGATGGGAGACGGAGCCTCCCAAAAGCAAGCTCTGGTGGAGAAGAGCAAGAGCATGGGGGGCCAGGGGCCAGGCTGGGCAGAACCGGCCAGAGAGGGAGGTGTCCCCCCCCAGACACACACACCCCGGCATCGGAGGTCTCGCTGATCCCCCGCCTGCCTCACCACTGCAGGAACAGGCCGAGAGTCAGGGGGGATGGATCAGCCTGTCTGTACCGGGGGCAAGGCCCCTCCAGGGCCAACTTTTAGGGCCACGGGTTGACCGCTGGCCTGGGAAAGGGCCACGGCCCCGTGGCAGACCAGCTGCTCCAGCTGCAGAAGGTGCAGGGCTGAGCTCCCAGGGGCCTCTTCAGTCGGAGATGGGAAAGTTCCTTCCCAACGGCTGCCCCACTGGGGTTATCTACTGCAAAGCCCGGCAAGGACCCACACGCTAAACCAGGAAAAGCCACTTTCCGGTGTTCCCACAACCCGCTCCCCTGCTGAAAACCCACTAACGGAAGCAACCGCATGAGGAAGAAACGGAACGTGACCGATTTCTGCTTGCATTCCTCTCACCACCTTCCTCCAGAGAACTCAAAGCAGGGAACTTGCTAAGCAGCAAATCCTATTCTTCTCACAACAATCCTGCGAGGCTGGTTAGTCTGGCCGAGAGTGAGTTCCCCCGCAAGGCCAGGGGAGAGGGTTTCGTGGCTCACTGGGCATTTGAACCCAGGTCTTCCGACTGTCACCGTGACCCCACACCAGGGTCCTCTTCCCCCCCCCCTTGCAAAGGCTTACCTGATATTTTGCCCATGGCGGTTGATGATCTTTGGCATCGCCGTCCGGAACTGGTAAATGGCCACCGAGGCATCTAAAGCCACCACTTGGCCTGTGGGGAGAAAGAGGGGAGAAAAGAGGCCCCTCTGGTGATTTCCTCCCCAGGACAGGCCCCCCCCCCAGTCTGAGGCTGCCCCACTTCCTCTGGGGTGGAAATGCGCAGGGCCTTGAGGAGGCAGAATGGGGAGGAGGAGGAAGCCTTTGTTTCAAAGGTCTTCCAGGGAAACAAACAAACCCTCCTTAGCGAGTGAGCTCCAAGACAGAATTTCTTACTCTGTAGCAAAAACAGCAAAAACAAAATTACAAACACAAACACGGTGACGTCTTAAAGCCAAAGGGGTTTATTTCAGGGAGAGCTTTACAGTAAGACTTGCTGAAACAGGCAATCATCTTGAGGGCGAATGTGCAAGACCTCCCCGCCCCAGAAAGGGGGACCTCTTTGCAAGACCTCCGCGCCCCACCCGGAGCGCAGCGCCTTGCAAGAGCGTCCCGGCGACCGATCGCGGGGGTCGGGGGTGGGGGGGGAGCCTCGCCCGGCCGATCCATCCTTCTCACCGCGGTAGCGCTCCAGCGGGACGGAGCTGACGGCCTCGGGCGCCTCGGCCCTGATCAGGT